AAAAACCCATCCTTCTGAAATACGCGACCGGCGGTAATAAGGGTAAATGGGTGGGGCATATCGGGGAAGAAAGTAATTAAAAATATAGAGCGTATAAAAGCAGAAAATAATGGGAATAATTATTTAAATAACCTGATGTTTTGCGCGCGATAATTAAAATGAGAAATACAACCAACAGGAAGCAAGAACTCTGCAGTAGTGCCTCGAATTGGATGCAATTGTATATCAACTCTATAACGAATTTTAGAGATTAAAGTAATACCATGAAAGATATCCTTTTTTCCTCATTTTCTTAAACTCGCAATAGCTTCCGAGTCAAAAAGCAACCACATGTCGCCAAAAATGAAACTAAAATAAACTAAAACTAAACTACTTAAACCTACACCAAACTGAAAACTAAAGTAAACAAAAAAATAAGCTCAAGCTAAGGCCATAAGTCGGCATGAATTACTAAGATTTCCGTGGGAGTCATTGCGATATGTGGATGGACTGCGCCGTACTCGGGAACCCGCCTATGCCGAAACAGTAAAACAAACATACCTACTATTACATACCTAGTACTACGTGATAAGTAGACAATTATGCAAAATAAGCGATAGTGAGTCCGAAACGTGACTGCCACCGTTAAGCCTGCAGCATAAATTGGCAGGCGATGGGATTATAAAAAGTCACCGAAGAGGCTACATTAGGCTACATACTGACTTGTAAGAAGAGAATAAGTCAGCAACAGTGGTGGCATTATTTGAGCCGCATGTGTTCGACAGACTGGCTTAAATAGAAGACAAAATTTCCGATGTATCAACAAAGGAAATCACAGTAACCAGGCGTAAACAAGTGGACACTGCCTCATGGGTTCCCCGCCCTCAAAGGATACGGAAGCAGATATTGGCCTGGAGCTGAATTCCAGGGAAATTACTGTCAGGGTGAAGGTTAAAGTGACGGCTAAAGTTTAGTTTAGGGTTATTGTTAGGGCTAGAGCAGGGGAATGTTTATTCTCCCTGAGATTTGACGCAGGAC